GAGTCACATAGCAATTAAAAAATTCTATAAGAGACTTTACCGTGGGGAAACTTTATGGAGCAATAATTTACCAATTTCTTGTTGTTTAAGTGCTTAATGGTATAGGCCACTGTGGAAAAAATTAGATGAACTAATCACAGAACTAACAAAATCACAGAACTAACAAAAGATGATGCTTCTGAAAGAAGCAGCACCACCTAAGGGGAAAAAAAAGACTTCTTGATTAATCTACTGCCTGAAACACACATTTCCTCTCATTTTGACATCTGCTACTAGTGTATTCACAGGAAAAAGACAAGGAACATGCACATGTAATGAAAGAATAATACTTTCATATTTTACAGCCTTAAATATAACCAGATATCTAGTGAGCTACTTTAATAAGGTGGTTATCACAGAATATTCCCTGAAGAAAGACAAAAATCTAAGTGCTCCCAAGCAGAAAGATAGAATCAATCCAATAAACAGCTGAACAGGCTGCATCTGACACGGCTCACTGCTCATGTCACCAAGTTGGTATTTTGAACCCATCAGAGATCCTTACCATAATTACAGGTATTTAACAAAACATACTTACTTAGAAAAGAGATTATTAAAAAAATCAATATAACATTCATTTTTCCATTAAAACTAAAAAATACTTCAGAAAGACAAGTAAAAATGGAAAGATATCCCCAAGAGTGAATGTGAAATAGTATCAAGGGCTTTTCTGGACTAAGAGCCAGACTTTTAATGCCTACGCTTCTTGCTGTCTGTCAGTTATTAACTTCATTGGTTTGGAAGAGAAGTCAGTCGGTTTCCTAGGCTGTTGGTCCATTCGTGAGCCTTGATACCAGTTCTCCCTTCAATTATAACAGGTTCCACCTAGTTGACCTAACCTTTTGTTCCACCAAAGAAACCTCAGCTCTAAAGTACATTCCACACATTTTTAATATAAAATGACTGCAGAAAATATAATAAACAGCAAAATAAAAAAGAAGATTCTAAAACATAACAAATGCTGTTTCCATCAGGAGTAAATTAAAAGATATTAAGAGTTGATAGAATCCAAGTGGTATATTACTTTGAAATAATCGTTAGATTTTAACACATTTTTAAACCCTGCATGTCAAAATAGTAAGTCATCATAATTTTCTCTCTGTAAGTTAAAATCTGGTCTATCAAGAGAGTATTGGGAAATTATTCTAATGCATATGTATGTATGTATATATACATATATAAACTCCTATTAAATCAGAAAACTGTAATGATTATAAATGTTAACACAAGTCTAATGTATGCCGTGTAAATAAACACATATGATATATCCAAGGGGTTGTTTTTTGATGTGTCTTTTATAGTTCACAGGGAAATAAGAGTTAGAAGTGAAAAACAGATAGGAAAAGTTGGTTGCAATTTTCTGAATAGAAAACTATTTTTAAATCTCAGATATAATTTTGAATGTATCATACCATAGTTTTGCTATAAACATTAAAATATCTATAGAATCTCAATTTAAAAATTAATATCTAGCATAAGATATCACTAAGATTGCATTATTTCACTGTGACTCTGCAAAACATGTCTAAACTAGATTTTTTCAGACTTTTATAAAACTCATAATTTTCATGAGTCTCTTATACAAGTTAATACTGAAATATCTACAGATCCTTATACCCTTCCAATTTACCCCTGCCATGCAATTGGTTTATCCAAGGACTAATCCTTCAAAAGTAAATGGTTGAGAAATTAATTTTATAGAAACTTCATGTAAAATATTTGTGTCCTATTCAATGTTATTTTCCTCTGGCCAGAAAATAAAACAAAGCCAAATACACAAAAAAGTAAAAACAAAACAAAACAAAAAAACTCTCTAATATTTCACTCCTCTGTTCATCAATGAATAAAACTGGGGAATCCATCAACTTCTTATTGCTAATGAGCTATTTCATAATCAGCTCTTGAATCTGCATCTAGTCTAGATAAAATATAGTAAAGAGCAGTTACTCTCAAGGTATTTTTCTGTACTGTTTCTATATCTAGAACATGATATATACTTTAAACAACTTAAAAGTATAATAAAATCCTAGAGGAGAACATAGGCAAAACACTCTCTGACATAAATCACAGCAGGATCCTCTGTGACCCACCTCCCAGAATATTGGAAATAAAAGAAAAAAATAAACAAATGGGACCTAATTAAANTTCAAGAGATCATAGTTCAAAAAAGCTAAACTAATACAATCTCTACCATTGTTATCAACTACATTAATTCACCCTCCTCAAAAAATGAGCAGGAAAAACTAAGAAATTTAAAAAAACAAAAAACCTTTCATTATAGAACACCAACCTCAGTTAAAATATTTTTTAGCTCAAGCTTCAGAGAAACAGAAATCTTTAAAGATACACATTAAAAGAGTAACCTGAAAAAAATGAGCTCATAATCATGGACACTCATTGTTGTTTGCCCACACATATAAAGAACCACACTCTGGAATGTAAAGAACTACACTCATAAATCAACTGATTATAGTCTTTTTTCCAAAGCAGTTCAGGATGGGGAACACATGCAAATCCATAGCTGATTCAAGTCAATGTATGGCAAAAACCACTACAATATTGTAAAGTAATTAGCCTCCAACTAATAAAAATAAATGGAAAAAAAAATTAAAAGTATACCAATTGGTGTGCATACATGTATGTGTGTGTCATATAACTAACAGTTTAAAATATCTAATATTCCTCCCTTTGGGCTAAAATATGATTATATTCTGCACACAGGAGACCACTTTACAGAATCTCATATATAGAATATAACAAGGAAGTGGCATTTATTTTTACATTATAGAGTCCTGTTACCTTTTAATAACAGATGCAACCTCTCCCCAATTGTGCTACTCTATTGTTATAATTTCTCTTGTCCAGCTTGTGTGACTGCAGAGGATCAGTGACAGAATAGGAAAAGATTATCTTTTAGTCATGTACAACAGCATTTAATTTCAAAGGGGCCAGCATAAATTCATAAATGTTCCCTAACTCTTCCTCTTAGAATCAGTGATCTCTTTCCCTGATCTTATTTTTGACTTCTAGCTGTTGTTGTTGGGCGTTTTGAGTGTCTGCACCATCAAAAAAATAGAAATGTAGATGCTGGAACCAGGTCCTATCAGACTCAATGTCAAGTTATAAAACACAAAAACAACAGATAACTCTAGTTACAGATAAAAATGCTTAAGGATGAAGGTTGGGGGAGAGTACTGGGAGTTTGGGATTAGCAGATGAAAACTATTATATAGAGAATGTATAAACAACAAGATCCTCCTGTATTGCACAGGGAACTCTATTTGACATGCTGCAATAAACCACAATGAAAAAGAATATGAAGAAGAATCACTTTGTTATATAGCAGAAACAGAATCACTTTATTATACAGCAGAAAATCAACAAACACTGTAAATCAATTATACTTCATGAAAATTTAAAAAAGAGGATGGGGAACACACGTACACCCATGGCTGATTCATGTCAATGTATGGCAAAAATCACTACAATATTGTAAAGTAATTAGCCTCCAATTAAAATAAATACATTAAAAAAAAAACAAATACTCATTAGCACTGCCCATGAAAAAATGCATAAGGAATAGATGCATTTTTTAATCAAAAAAGACAACCAAGCCTAGACAAAGTTTCAACCAGATAAAATCACTTATTTGTTAGCACCAGGAAAAATTTTTCGTTTTTGTTCTGATTATGGTAGATTCCAGTTCACAAGGAATTAAACTGCACTTTGATCAATCTGTCTTCCAAATGGATTACTAAGTTTTCATATGAAGCCAACATCTGATAAAAAGATTTATCTGAAGGAGATGATAACACAGCTCATGAGATCCATCAGGTGGAAATGTTTGAGGTAGAGCAGGTAAACCAAAAAGCACAACAGATTTCAAAACTTAGCAGAAGAGATCCAAATTACCTCAGCCATTGACAGAAAAGGAGGACAGGGCAGTCAGAGGTCAAGATGGGTAATGGATTTTACAGCCATTCCGAGCACTCAGAATCAGGGAAAGCTCTGCCCTGCCCTCTGAGCTCTCGAATCTCACATGCCTCCTAATAATGGAGACAAAGAGAAATAAATCTTTAATTTCTCAAATATAATCAGATAAGTGGACACTGAACCTATCATTGTTATCCTATAATCAACAAACATACATTATTAAAACATCAAAATGATGACATTTCGCTAAGAGATTTGCAAGATACAAAAAGCACTCAAGCCTTTACTTTCAAGGAGTTATTGTCAAATAGAATTTTAGGTTGGTACCTCTGAGCCAATTCTTATATATTCCCAAAATAGCCTAAGTTAACCTTTACTGCCCTATTTTTTAAAATAGAAATTGTGAAGATGCTCACCCGAAAAGAGAACTTCATTCAATGACACGAGAAAGTAGACTTTATCATGCAGTTTGTGTAAAACCATTCTGTCTGTCCAAATAATTGTCAAACAATACTCCATATGTTGTTAGCATTCATTGTTAATGCAAACCTATTTAGTAGAAGTTGGCATTTATAAGTTAGTACCAGCAAAGTAAAAGATAAAATCTTACTAATAAGGCTGACATAAAACCATGACTGCTGTTAAAACAATACATAGAAGATGATCAGAAAAAGCAAATTTTTGAAAGATTTTCATCAGAATTCTCTAAATTCAAGCCAAATAGCAGAGGCAAAGTTAATATACAGATATAAACCACACTAAATGCCAAATATTATTATTTTGCATTGCCATTTGATATACTGCTGCTAATATAGCCCTATATACAGGAAAATAGCACAATAATTAGGGAAACAATAAAAACGTATTTCTGAATTTCAATGAAGCAACATCATAAAAATACTGACAAAAGGTACAGCAATATATTCATCAAAATTGTTAACCAGTGCTAACTTAAACCTAACATGGAAACTGCAGAATGGCTCATAATAATAAGCCAGAAATTATTTTTATTCTTATCTCTAAACCAGGTCAACTGAAATAAAAATAGGACTGGTGATGAATAATCAGCTCCCATCTTACCATGCTGCTATTCAGAAGACAGAAATAACTCCGATAGACCCATTGATGAAGAAGAAGAAGAACAAAAACAAACTTCTCTTTCAGCACTTCTCCCCAGTTTTCAAGTTTTTCTAACATGGTTGAGTATGAAGGTAAAATAACTAGCTAATCTCTGGAGGTCTTACACATGCTTACACACATTTTTTTGTTAGTGGCTGCAGCTGTTTTCTCACTGTATATAATATCCTCTTTAGTACATACTCAGGCTAAATAAAACTATATGACTGGGAGAGGATTTAACAAGTTTTTTACATGTGATGACTAATGCAGTGCTTAATTTTTCCTCAAAATATAGTAATATACCTACAGATGAACTCAAAACTGTTAGTCATAAAAGCCAATTTAGAAATCTATTTTGCTAAGTAATTTGAATGATCTCCCTAATATCATGAGTGCTAGTTTCTTAATTCATCCTTATATCTTATATTCATTCTTACCTCTGTACCAGTTATATTTTTAATAAGGATAACATTAAGTATTAGTTAACATATTTTTAAATGCTTTTCTGGATATCCTTAGAAATATATGCAGACTTAAAATATTGCATTATTTTGATTTTTGCTTTGCGGATTTAAAGAGCAAATTTGACAAAAGAGAAAACTGATAAATTTCCACATTTTGCAATGTTGTATTCTCTTCTTTCAACAAAAACCATACATAGACACACAAATAAGCTTTGGACTACAAACCCAGGACCCATAATAAATCAATGTTTTCAAACTACTTTGATGGACAAATGTGGATTTTATAATTAGTGAGAGGCAAATTATTTGGTATGTGTATTCCACATAGGAATTTAACAATGTACTTGGCAATGTAAAGATGAATGTAATGACTGAGTGAGCTTAGACAATCTACACAGTAGATCCTAAAAAGCCTGAGAATCATATCACGGTGGTGTCATATCGTTTGAATGAAAATGGAAAATAGCAAGACCTATATTCAAATATTTGATAATGAATAATATAAAAATATGAAAAAATTTAAATTGATACCTTTAAATTCACGTACTATGCAAAATTTTGTTAAACAAATCCAAAAGTATTCTATTCAGAGTATATATATTCTATACTTTATATACTATGTTGTTGCTGTTCAGTCGCTAAGTCATCTCCGACTCTTTGCAACTCCATGGACTGGAGCACACCAGGCTTCCCTATCCTTCACTATCTCACTATCTCCTGGAGTTGGCTTAGATTCCATGTCCACTAAGTTGGTGATGCTATTTGACCATCTCATTCTCTGCCGCGCTCTTCTCCTTCTGCCTCAATCTTTCCCAGCATCAAGGTCTTATCCGATGAGTTGGCTCTTCACATCAGGTAGCCAAAGTATTGGACTTTCAGCTTCAGCATCAGTCCTTCCAATGAAAATTCAGGACTGATTCCTTCAGGATTGACAGGTTGGATCTCCTTGCAGTCCAAGGGATTCTCAGGAGTCTTCTCTAACACCACAGTTCAACAGCATCAAATCTTCGGCACTCAGCCTTCTTCATGGTCCAACTCTCACATCCATACATGACTACTGGAAAAACAATAGCTTTGATTATATGGACCTTTGTCAGCAAAGTGATGTCTTGCTTTTTTTTTTTTTTTTGATGTCTTGCTTTTTAATATGATGTCTAGCTTGGTCACAGCTTTCCTTCCAAGGAGCAAGCGTCTTTTAATTTCATGGCTTCAGACACCATCCATAGTGATTTTGGAGCCCAAGAAAATAAAATCTGTCACTGCTTCCACTTTTTCCTATCTGTTGCTATGAAGTGACAGGGAAAATACATTAACTTAGATTTACAATTTTTCCTGTGATATTGTGATAGGCTTACAATTACAGATCATTTAGAGCTACTAAAGGGTTCAGTTCAGTTCAGTCACTCAATCGTGTCCAACTTTTTGCGACCCCCATAGACTACAGCATGCCAGGATTCCCTGTCCATCACCAACTCCTGGAGCTTGCTCAAACTCATGTCCATAGAGTCGGTGATGCCATCCAACCATCTCATCCTCTGTTGTCCCCTTCTTCTGCCTTCAGTATTTTCCAGCATCAGGGTCTTTTAAAAGGAATCAGTTCAAAAAATAAATAAATAAATAAAAGGAATCAGGTCTTCGCATCAGGTGGCCAAAGTACTAGAGTTTTCAGCTTCAGCATCAGTCCTTCCAATGAATATTCAGGGCTGATTTCCTTTAGGATGGACTGGTTTGATCTCCTTGCTGTCCAAGGGACTCTCAAGTCTTCTCCAACACCACAGCTCAATTCTTTGGCACTCAGCTTTCTTTATAGTCCAACTCTCACATCCATACATGACTACTGGATAAACCACAGCTTTGACAAGACAGATCTTTGTGAGTATCTAAATATTTGAACTAGTCATAGTTTAGTTAATATATTAATTTTTAATTTAATTTATTGTTTCCTAAAACCTATACTAAACATGAATAATAGAGTCAAACGTATCAAAAAGAACAAAATGGAATATTTAGAAAAAAATCAAGAAGTCTGATGTATTTTCAAGTATGATAAAGGATTTTCATAAATCATTTGGGTAAAAAAAATGCTATTTTAAAATGAATACAGATGCAATCAACTATTTTAAAAAGCCACTATAATTTCATTTTATATTCTATATACAAATAAATCATATAATTAATGTAGTCAATGTTAAAAATCTTAGAAACAACAATTTTTTATTGAGAAATATGTTTATCTTATATTAGAAGCAGTTTAAATAAATAAAAATCGTATATTTATTATAATGTGAAGTATGCTACAACTAAATAATATGACAAATAACTATCATGCTTAAAAACTTTATTAACATAGAAATACCTGAATGTTTTAAAAGCAACACACAAAATCAAATATAATCTCAATTTCACTAAACAATATGTATAGAAAGTGAGCAAAGTTCAACAAAAATGTTAATCATCTGTGGATATGAAATGTTAGTGTTTTTGTGTTTTGAGTGTTTCTCTTTACATCGAGCAAAAAGAATTAAATATTATGAGGTCTTCTATACCACAGAGCATATACAAAATTAATCTGGACAATCTGTTTTCCCTAGCTCTTTGTTAACCTGTACTTCTGTATGTTCTCTGATTATTCCCAGGCTGACAGAAATTTGCATGGATAAATTATAATCACCTTTGTGACAGCTGGATCCTACCATTTTAAGCAGATGGAAAATCATTCCATCTGCTTCTTACTTGTGAATAGGTTAAAGTAAATGATAAAAAGAAAAAGTATGTGCTCTAAGTCTACATGTAGAGAAGGCAGAAATTCAGTTCCATGTCACGATTTCACACAGTGCGAGTGATGTTCCTACCTCCTCAAAAGTATTTCCAGCAACTGGAACAGATTCTTTAAATTCCACCAATAGAGATGTGCTTCTTTGATTACAAATCTCTTCCCTTTAAAAAAGAAAAGATCTGTAGAAGTAAGGAGCACATTTAACTTTCATCAGTCACTTGTAAGAATATGAATGCTGCTGCTGCTGCTAAATTGCTTTAGTCATGTCTGACTCTGTGCGACCACATAGACAGCAGCCTACCAGGCTCCTCCTTCCCAGTGAAAATAATTTTCAAATTCTTCCTGAGAACAAGTTGTAAAGAGGAGTAGGGCAGGGTTAACATGAGAACCTCCTCTATGGGAAGAACAGAAGTCAGAGCAGCCTGGTTAAGGGGCAAGATGAAGGCTGGAGGAAGAGATTAGAATAATTAAGATACTCTCTTCCAAATATTCAACTTTGTGAACTGCAGATCCTGAAAAGGCATGGCACCAAACTTTGAATGACAGGAATCCATGCATAATGATATTCTTGCTACTAGGGTGAATTTGGGGTTTCTGTGGTAGCTCAGCTGGTAGATAATCCACCTGTAATGCAGGAGACCCCGGGTAAATTCCTGGGTTAGGGCACGCTCACAGAGTGGAGAAGAGATAGGCTACCTACTCCAGTATTCCTGGGCTTCCCTGTAGCTCAGACAGTAAAGAACCCACCTGCAATGCAGGAGACCTGGGTTCAATCCCTGGGGTGGGAAGATCCCCTAGAGGAGGGCATGGCAACCCACTCCAATATTTTTGCCTGGAGAATCCCCATGGACAGAGGAGCCTGGCCAGCTACAGTTCATGGGGTCACAAAGAGTTGGACACAACTAAGCATAGCACAATGTGAATTTTATAAGTTTGGTATCAAATATACTCATGAATTTGGGAGCCTGAATTGGAGGTAGTGTGAAAGCACCCTAGAAGAAGACCAGAAGAATAGCTATAATATTATATTATGTACATTATAATATATTCACTATATAAAATTAGTATTATGAAATACCTGTTTTAAAACTCCATTGTTCAGACAGTCTTTGAGGGCCTGTAGCAGAAAAATGGGAGAATCTTTCCAAATACATACTAATGAAACAGTTCATTAAAACTCACAACTGCCTTACTTTTTATTACTTTTAATTCACAACCCAACTTAAAAGTACCATGTCTCATTCTGCATATATTATGGTTAAGGTATGCTGGTACCAAATTAATATCAAATAATAATTAAAGTCTACATTCTATAGCATCCCAGAATTAAACTATATTTTTTCAAAGACCAGAAGCCCCATAAATGCTGTTATGTTGTTAACTATGACAAGAAAATACTGTCAATTTCAATGCAACCCCTGAGTTTTAGTTACATTTGTGTTTATTCTTGTTTTCCAGAATATTTTCTCTCTCACACACATCACTTTAAAGATAACTGAGGAGATTTTAAGGTATTTACTCACGTGTTCCTCTTAACCAATTTTGCACATACTGGCACATCTCCTCCAATTAACACCAGGAATAAGGTTTGGGCTGGCCTTAACCTGTGTGTAATTTCACTTGGGTTGACAACACATGGAGATATACCTATTTACCTATCAAAACCACAACAATAAAGCACAATAAAAGGATTTGGGAGACCAAAGCAGACATTCTGCCTGGAAATTGATTCATTACAACTTTTTTTTATAACATACTGGGGAAATTGTCTAGAATAAATTGGCCCAAGAAGAGGAAAGAAAACTCATTTGTCTCCCTTGCATGCTTACCACAGTTGGCTTAAAGATCCTAAAATTATACACTAATAATGATGTACAGTTCATGCACGCCCCAGTTCAACAATTTACACGAACCAATCTGCTATATGACTCTCCTTAAAGAGTACTCTCCTGAGGTCAC